GTGAAAGTGATACACAGATCGTTTATACGTTTCAACAAACATCGAGTAGATCAGAACCGCGTGGGTAAATATTGTCACATCATGTTTGACGTTCTTTCTCCGTACTATCGATCAAAGTTCATTATTTTAGGGCCGGTTAATTGAAATGTTGCGTACGAATATCGGTGATCGAAAATTACCTTTTCGATTGATATTTCGGTCGTTTACTAATCCATTGTTTATTTATCCATTGCGCGAGTAAACATTCGATATGATAGGTGATCTGCGAGTTAATTTATTTGTTGCAAAGGTATCTGTTATCGATTTCTCGTTCGGTGTTACGTTCGTCACCGATTCGCTACCGATCGCGAGTTACCGTGCAGAAGGCCTAGAGAAACTCCCCCGGATTTTATTCGCTATCTGTACGAATCCGTGTGACGTTGCACAGGTGATTAATAGGAATCGACAGATCCGACTGCAGCGGAACGAAATATCGGCGATAAATTTCCAGCAAGCTCAGCTAACGTATTCGCGGACAAGGAAATATTTTTTTGCCCTCGGATATCTTTCCCCTCGCTTAGAGCCATCCACGTTCGCAACAGTGTAACAAATGGCACTGGAAGCTCAATGGAAACATAGATTCGCTGCCGTTATATCGAACGAAATGAAATCAATATGTCCACAAAGAACAGACAGAAATTTTCGAACACTCGATCGCACGAATCGGGTGAATAAAATTCGCCGGACGCGAATAAAAAATACATGGACATTGGGAGGTATATTATGAACGCGACCGTAAATTCCTACCGAAAACAGTTTCCTCGCGCGAACGGAAGCGTGAAACGATGAATACAAGCCGTGCGATTTTCATAATTTCAATAACTCGCAACTTTCTCGCGGACTTAATATACCGTGAAAATAATTACTGTCGCGGAAATGGATTCAGGAAACGATGGCGAAGCGGAGTTGGGAAGAAAACGCGATACCGTGGAAGGGTATTCATCCAGATCCTGGCATCGTCCTAAAGTAGAAGGGTGACCCTGGGTTACAAGTTGATTTTAAATCATATAAAACAAGTATATTTCTGCAGTTGGGAATATACTGTTAGGCATTTTATTTTACGGATTCCATCTTTAACGATAGATGCACGAGCACGAACTTTCGTACGCGATACATTGTTTTCACGATGTACCTCGAGGAATACGTCGCTTCATTTTTCCCCTGCACTCCTCATCCATCTGGCTCTTCGTGCCTGCACAAGCGTTATTTTCCCTTATTCCTATCCAGAGGCGGGTTCGGCCTGTCCTCGCCGGGTTGGAACGCGTTTGTAGGGCCTCGAGTAGGCGTTATTGTGTTACGGGATACGCGACAGCTTTCGAGATGCCTCTGTTCGCGTATCACGGATCCTGGGCAAACGTGATTATTTTTCGCAATTTGCTAAGCAGATGCCCCTATTGTGCGAATCTCAGCCGTGGCATGAGATTTGTTCTCTATCCACCCTATGCGCGAGCTTCCACCCCTTTTCTCCTTTTCCTCGGGCCCTCCAGCCTCGATGTGTCGACTAGCGACAGGATTTTTTCCTTCCTTTTCTTTTTTTTTCTTTTTTTTTTTTCACCTGTGTACACATCGACGCGCGCTACGCGTTTCGCGTTTATTTGTCGAATACAAACGACGAGTCTCGCCACTTTTCCCCTCTCTTACTCTCATCTTGAGCGTTGATACAGGGAGAGAAAAGGCGCGAATCCACGCACGCCGGGGGCTGCATATTTTAACCAACTTGCCTACGCGTATTGTCTTCCCAACGTTCCCCGTCTCGTCGTGTTTCTCTACCAGGAGTGAAATAATGATCGTACCCAACAGCCAGCATCCTGTTTCTCGGTCTATTCTTTGCGACATACAGAGAGCAAAGCGTGCGTGACAACAATGTTGCGAGCGAGGCTCGAGAGATTGCGCGAAACGTGTCCTTTTTCTTGCTTCGATTGTCTTCCCAACCCCTTCCGCCGATGGGTAGGGTTAACGCGGGAATCGCTGCCAGGCTTCTTCCAACGCGGTATCCTCCTTCTATTTACCCCGAAATGTTTCGTTGTTACGTACACGCAACGGGTTCTCGTTTGTTTCGACTGACGGGCGATTCGTTCGGTTGAGTTAGCCGAATGCAACCGGTCGTCCATCGACGCGAAGCAACGGTGATTAAAAACGATAATTTCGAGCCGAGACGGAATTTTATTGAAAGCCGATACGATGATTTTACCGCTCGTCTGCGGACACGAATTTTTTCTTCCTTCTATTGCTCGTTATCGTTATACAATATCGCGTCCACTCTATTAATTTCAATGAGAATTGTTTAACATTTATTTGATTGAAATGCAAGGAGATGAAATTGCAAGGAGAATCCATGAAAGACGTCCAGAAGCGAATTGGTATCGCGTAATTGATTCGTATTCAAGCTTAATGAGCTCATTGTACTCGCGCGGGTACAGTTCGTCGAAGCGTGCCGAAGCAATCGATAGGATCGACGTGACAGTTGAATTGGCCCTGTCACGAGTTCGATATTCCGATTGTTCCAGCCTCGAAGCTCGCTGGGAATCAAGGTCCCCGATTGAACGGACACACCTGTTTGCGTCTTCCTGTTCAATTGAAACACGCGAATTACTTTCCACTCGTAAATCCTGTCTAAAAGACAAGCGGTAACGCAAAGTTATGACACGCTTGATTCGAATATCCTGTTGCTTAAGCAACGCGGAAGCTCGTTTCCTTTCGTTCCTCTACCACGGCCACGGTGACACTAATTCGACCAACATGATTTGTCTTGCGTGAATTTATGGTTCATTGATGTTTAACTGGAACAACGAGCAGCATTCCACTCTTGGAAATAAATTCAGTCGTTGTTCGATAACCGAAGCGTGTATTCAGGTCACGGGCTGATCTCGCGTCTCTTTCACATCATTCGATGTTTATTCTTCATTTTTAACACAAGTTGATGTTGGAATAACAAAGTAACGAACGCTTACATCTTCCGCGTTCTTAACGATGCGCATCGCGCCGGAAAAAGCTTTGGGAAAGTTTCGCGAAGCATTCGCCACTTGTTACGGCAGAGCGATCATTTTGCGGAAGCAACGAATTTCGAAGAATGGATCTGACGAGAGAAGAGTGCCAGGAGCATCAGTCACGCCGCTTGCGTTCTGAAGGGTTTGCCCTTTTTTCGACTCGTCTTCGGCATCGGCATCCCTGCCGCTCGCGATACATTATGTTTCCCCGAACGCATGCACGACTTTCGCATCGGCAAGGGCTCCGAAAGTGCGCAACCTACAAGTTTAACCCCTTTTTTTTTTTCTTCCTCGCCTTCTGTTCTCGAGGATCTTTCGAGGCTTAGCGGTTGAGAAGCTCCGCGAGTATACCTTCGAACGTCGTCCTCCCTTCTTTTCGCTATTGGTTTTCCGTGTTTGAACCACCACCCTCCTCGAGCTTCCTCTTCCCTTGACTTTCCAAACTTTCCAACTAATATAGAAAGTGATCGTTTCAAAATATCTCCTCTCTTCGATCTCTTCTTTCTGTTTGGACTAACCAAGAACTACGTACCTCGAAGATTTCATCAACAGATTGAACTTTGTCCCTCCAATATCTCTAAAATCAACTCGTCGAAGTTGTGTTTGTTTCGAATCGCGAGTAAATATTGATAAAGGAAAAAGGAAAATAGACGAATTATATCAACTGGATGTCTTTCGGGATCACCTTGACCGGATAAGGGTTAAGGGAGGAGGCGTTCGGGAAAAATGGCAGGGAAACGGAGAGAATGATGGAGGAAAAAAAAAAAGGTGACGAGGATAGGAGAGGACTGGCTGGCGTCACTTTGGTAGCAACGTGCTCTGAAAGCGCTCATTGAAATGGCTCGCGGCTGTCTGATGTACGCGAGCGGATCATTAATTGAAATTCCGTTACGCAAATGCTACGTGCAACGCACGTTCCCGTCGCGGTTGCAACACCAGGGATACAGAGAACGTCTCTCGGATATGCTCGAGTACCAGTATGCAGACTAGATTCTATCGTTTTTATCGGGCTAAATTAGCGGGGGTATGCGCTTAATTAGGAACACACTCTCGCGTTTATTTTTTTTTTCCCTCCACGGAAAATGCTTGTTTTTACCTCTTTCGTGGTCGAAATAATTGGACCCGGCCACATTGTTGCACACCGACTAACGGCGGATAGGAAAACTCGGGACGTTTCGATGTGGCAACAGAGTGAATTAACGATAGGTGCATACGTTTAAATAAAACGACGATTACGAAAGTGACGATGGTATTATGGTCGAGTGTAACACAAAGGGCTTCGAGCACGGTTCACCCGTTGTTTCGTCTCGCAATTATCGGCTAAAGCTGTTCAGAAAGTAATTAAAACTCCTGTGTAAAGAGATCAAATAGCATTCGACGAAGGCAGCTAGGAAAAAATTGAACGGGTGCTCTTAGCAGTGTAATAACGGTGTAATTTCTTTTTAAAAGGCTCGAACTTCTCTGGAAATATTGCATTTTTCTGCGCGATGCTATTTATAAAAAAATGTAATCTCTACTTTCCGCAAGCGGTATCGCGGATGATCAGTCATTAACCGAGAGGGTTGGAATACTTTTGCAGCTCATCCCGCGACTGTGCACGACTTTCGGGATCGCTCTTTCGAAGTTCACCGCAATCTCTGTGATGTCTGGACGGCCTTGCGAGCACAAGAGAAAATGGCACTTTTGTGTCCCGGTTACTAATGCGTCCCCGTAATAATTTCGTTTTTCTTTTCTTTTTCACCCGACTACCTTTTTACGCGACTCGTTTCCTCGTCGCTATTTCTAGATCGCTCGACCCTTCCGTCCGTTCTCGTCCACCCTCTTTTCGCAAAGAGAGAAACGAGCGAGGGAAAAGGAAAAAAAAAAAGGGTTGGGCGGACGTGAAAATCAGTCGACAGAGGGAAAAGAAGAAACCGCGAATCTTTTATTCTTCGGTTGACTGACAACGGAACGTTTCGGATTTTTATTTTTTAGAAACGACGACGATGGAAGTACGGACAGAAAGACCCCGAATGGCTGGCCGGATAGCACCGACCGGACGCGTTACTCCGACCATACATCAAACAGGTGGAGGAAGAAGAAAAGCGATACCGGTCCCGCCGCCGAGGGTGCCAACCCCTATGCCCACTGCCAACAATAATCAACAAAAGTGAGTAAATTATGTTATCTCAATATATTCTCTTTATCATCAAAACGTTAACGAATAAAAAGTGACGCGATTAGAAGTTTACCGATGTCTATTAAATTACTTGTATCAATCTCTGTTTCAACGTTTCGATGCAACGTTTGAATTGGAGTTGTCGGTCGCGTCGAATCTACGGAATAGACATCATTAAGTAAGTGAGATTAGGCGTGAGTCGAGTTTGGTCTCGACTGATCAAAGTTTACCCGAAACCACCGGACACTCGGTATTCCCGACCAATTTCAAGATGTTCTACTGTACACCGTATTTCGTGTAGTTTCGACGAGAATGGTATCTGCTAATACCTTGCCGAGTTCAATTACATTAGAAAGGGGCTATTGTGCGAGCGTTAGATTGCACTTTTCAGGATCTACGCTTTAGAGCTTTTCCATTAACGAACAGTGGAAAAGGATTCGAAGGAGTATTCCATCTTTGCATAAATCTTTTAGAAGTATTTTTGTTAATTTTATTTTTCTACCAATCACTCGGTCGATCATTAACGCGAATACGGTAAAGTGATCCGATTATTTAACAAAAGTAGGTTACGTATTCTGAATGGCATGAAAAAGCATTCGATGGAGAATAAACACTTAGTTAGCCAGGAGTATCCGGTCATTCTATACAACTTTATCTTGCGGTTTTCGGGGGATTTTGCGCGAGTTGCCCGGCTACATCGAGGATAGGCTCCATTAAGTAGGAGGCAGCATCGAAATACGGTATAGTTCGGTCGGTCTGATTAAAGTTCACGAAACACGAGACCACCGGCCACTTTACCGATCTCTTCCACCAATCTGCCTCGACCACACGTTGAATTCGCTCGGTAGCAGGATTTGCCACTGCCTACCGTGGTATTAACTCTCGGATACACAAACGTCTCTTGTCTGTTTCCGTCTCGGTCGATCGTTATTTCCGCCGGCAACAGATTAACAAGTCGGATTCCGTAGTCTTTAAAAGCTCGTTAACTAATGCGGATTATTAAAGGAACGTTATTCGTGGAAGGTAACAGGGTGGAATGGGAACTGGCTGGCTCCGGTCGGACTCGTTATTCCGTGACTACCGGCGAATGCAATAGAGCCATAAAATTTATAGCATCGCATCGTTGGACCACTTACCGTGCAACTTCTGTTTCCTAACGCATTCGAGCCACGTAGAAGGCTTAACGGACCATCCAACCCATCGGACAAGCAGCGAATTCATTTCCCAGACGTCTTTTCTCCGCGTCCACCATTTCTCGTAAATTCTACAGTTTCGTTGTGTCAGGTGAAAATTGGCTCGTTTAGCTGATTGCTAAATAGCCGATTGCAGTTTTTTATAATTCATTCAAATTTCTATGACACGTCCCGATTATAAACGTTTTGCCTCCCGGTTCTGTATACGATTCGTCTCGAGTTAGAATAACACGAGAGGGATCTTGTTAGTCAGGATAGGAAATAAAAAATTCAGTAATTCAGGTATTCCGGCGTTGGGGATCGATGGTCGGCCGGTTGTTCAAATTTTTAACGAGTCTCGTAGCACCGCGAAATTAATTACTTAACGGCTGGAGTTTTTTTCCACAGTTGGAAATGAAACCACCGCTCTCTCCATTTCCGCGGGTTCATTCTCCTCTATTCCTGCGCGCAACGTATGGTATATCAACAGTGCTTTTGTGTCTTCGGCGATACGTCGTTAAAATACACGATAAGTGTCGTTACTTGTTGAACGCCGTCTGTTAAATAATTTTTTTTTCCCTCCATTCACGTACTTGATATACCTGGAGCGCGAAAAACCGAGAAATACGTGTTTTTCATTTTTATAAATCAATTAAAGTAATGAAATTTAGACGAATTTAGGCGATGATAAATATATGCGAATAATACACCGTTTTCGCGGTAGCCTTTCACGAATTTAATCAGGAACCACTGAAAATTCACCGCGATCCTCGTACGAAATATTCGACGAACGGTCGACGAGGGGTCTTAATCCGGGACCGCTGGTTTAACGAGAGAAAGAGGGAAGAAGGATCGAGATTCCTGCGGTAGAGCGAAGGAAAAAGAGCGAAAGAGGAGATTAGAGATCTACAACTTATCTCGAAAAGTGGTTTCCATCGTTGTAGAAGAGGCCGTAAGCGGCTTATGGGGCGCATTCATGCGATTTCGGTGCGTGTCTAGCGCGACTTTAATACGCCGCTAAACCCACGTTCTATTAATTACAGATTCTTACGTTCTCTCGTGTATTTCACCGATTTCAACCATTTGCGGATATAAGCTTTCGTTTTCTCTTTTTTATGGACATTTTTCGGTGATTATAACGAAAACGTGCGGCGGAGACGTCGTAAAGTTTGAAGCCCAATGTCCGTGGTATTTCGAGGGGTTGGAGGGACAATTATCGGAATTGTCCGGGACCGGGCGAATTTTTCGTCCAGGATTTTAATTAATTAGCGTCTGAGCCGGGATGCTCCGAGTCGATCCCTCGAACGGTGTACGGGAACACCGGTGGTAGAGGCGAAGGTTCATTAGATCCTTGCACAGGCTGAAATTCTGTCGACCACAGGGCAAATAGTTCGCCTGGCGCTTTATGTAAAACAGAGAAAGAGAAGGCGGGGGAGGGCTTTGTATCAAAGAGGTACCCGTATGTATTCATTAGGGGGTATTTAGCATAGTTCCAATAAGCAGAGGAGAAACGAAGGGAATTGTAGGTGTATATACGCTCGCATTTCGGTACAGAAGAATTGTCGATGTGAATCGGAATCACGGCGCTGCTGCATCGTCTGCTTCTCGCGCGAGACGAAGCGGGCCGGAATCGTGCGCGCGACCAAAACAGGCATTTAATTATTTCAAGCCGGCCTCGTTATAAGGCTAACGTTAACCAACCGAGCTAGTTCGAGGAAGACTTAAAATTTTACCGAGATAACGGAAGTAGCTTGGATAAAGACTGATTTATACTATTCGTTTAAACTTGCGGCGTCTATGTCCTTCTTTGAGGTCCGTCCTCTCTTTTCGCGTTTCTTTTTTTTTCGCGTTAATTAAACCGTCGTCTGTGTTGCACCACTTTAATTTTATCGTAGACGAAACAATTTTTTTGCATTTCAAATTGGCTCAGCTTTAAAATATAAGTTTGTAATTTTGTGAAGTCTTCCACGAGCACTTGAAATCTAAACGAATGTAAATTGGCTTTAAAACAAGCAGAAAGCATTACAAGCTGAGATAAAATATTTTTCTCGAGGTGGACAGGTTGGTAACCAGTAAGGAAAGTCGAAAGCCCATAACGTCCCGAGTAAAAGGATTCAAAAATTGACCGCAGCTCTAATTAACGAATATCGATAACATCGATTCCGCATTAACTCGAGCGCGGCGAAAAGGACAAAGACGAACGATTGTCGAAGTTCGATCGGTATCGGAGAAAATTGTGGTGAAACTGGCGCGAAATCTCCTCGGTGAAGCTTTTGACTTGCAGACGGCGAATGTTACAAGGCCGACCGTGTTTCGTGGTGGAAAAAGTTTACCGGTCGGTTCGTTAATGAAGCGATATACTGGCGAACCTTTATTACTATTTACTGTGACAAGCGGAACGGAACTTAAACTCGCTCTTTCGTTGGCCAGCTACGTTTCCTCTTCCCGTCAAAGGATCAAAGCGCTTTCTGTCCCAGGATCGAGCGTGCGTATTCATTTTTTCGAGTGCGCTCATTCGGTCTGCGGGAAAGCCGAAAAGAGATACAGAGAAATGGACCGAAAGGCAAAGGCAACCTGGACAACTAGAATCAAAATCCTACCTCGTATATCCAATCTTGCGTATCGATGTTTTTCCCTACACAGTTTTTCTCGTTACGTAAAGTTAATCCGAAAAAGAGAGTGTCTTTATTTGAATACGATCCACCGATCCTTCCTTCCAAAACCTGGCCGACGATGAACACCATCATATGAAATTATAAAATAATACTTCAAATAATGTTATTTTACAAGTGCTCAATTCTGTACTTTCAACAAGATTTTTTTTCCACGACCTGATATTACAATTGCATCGACGATTTATTCTCGTTTACTTGAGTGCTCATTAGCGGCGATAAGGATCGAACTAACCAGCTTTATAAACGTCTAGGCGTATAACGATTCTTGCTGAATAATTCAACCGTTTGTCGTTCGAACGGATCGATCTTTAGGAGGTTGAATAAAATTTCTCATCTTATCGTTGGATAGAAGTGAAAAAAGGGGGATGGCGTTAGGGCGAGGATGAAATTTCCCTCGGAATGTTGCTTACCCTCTAATCTGTTTACATTTAATATATTCATTATCGAGGGGTTCGCGGCGAGAGGATTTGATTTCTTGACGCGTGCAAATGCATCGGGATCCGAGGAGCGAGGTAAAGGGCTCGCCACACCGAGTCGGCATAGCATAGCTTTTCGAATAGAAAGGCGTGCGAACGCGCCATCTCGAAATACGTCAAGCGATTTAATGAGCCGGATTTCACGGGATCGACGTCGAATGGGGAAAGCGGGGAATCTTCCTATGGGAAGTCAGTGGCGTATGAGCCGATCGGTGGTATAGGGTATCGGGGAAACGAAATGCACCCACGAAAATGGCGAGCGAGTGGAAGGTCTGAGTTGGGTGTACGCGGAAAACTGGGGTCAAAAGCCCGCAGAAATTTTCAACAAAGCCGCTCATTGTGTTGGCGAGCTGCAAAAGGGGTGGCAAGCCGCGTATATGATGTTCCCTGGCAAACGCCGCCGCTTTCTTTCTCTCTTCTCTCTATGTTCACGCACCGATTGCGTGTACCTGTCGTAAAAAAAAAAAAAAAAATTGCAGGTAAACCACTCCACACCATTACCGAGCTCGTCTCTTTTTCGTATTTCTCCGATCCCCCTTTCACCTTCTCGTCGTCCATCGACGGTGCTCGTCGTTCGATTGTCACTCGCACGACGCGACTTTGATAGGAACGCTATTGCCATCGCGCTCCACTAATTTGACGCGTGTAATATCTGACGGCGCTCCGGT